TGAAGCAGCACCCTTGATAGGACATGTGCTCTGAGTGCAGTCAGGAGGGGAATGGAAGCATACATACAGAGAGAAACTCTAAGAGTTTGCATGAAGATAGCAGTTTCCCCCCACAGAGCATTACTGCCCAATTCCAGATACTCTCTGGAGAATCTGTTGCTTTAAGACCCCTTTGTATTGTCCAATTATGAACGTATATGCAAACAGAGGTATTCCAAAATCCAAAAAACATGGTCCCAAGCATTTCAGATAAGGGAGACTTAACCTATACTTACGAAAGGTAAGGGGGAGATCATATACCATTGTATGTGTGTGTTGTGCCTCAAGTAATTTCTGAGTTAGGAATCAATTTTGTAGTGTGGTGTAGGGGACTACGACTCTGGAGGCCAGGGTTTGATTTCCAGCTTTGCCATAAAACCCACTGAGTGACCTTGGGACAAGTCACATGCTCTCAGCCTCAGGGGAAGACAATGGCAAATCTATGAACAAATCTTGCCAAGAAAAGCTCATGATTGGCATAGCATTGAGCCAGGGCCAGGAAGTTACTTGAGATTACACAACAACAACAAAAACGGGTCAAAATCCCCCTGACCAGGCGCCCTGTTCCTCAGTCTGCAGGGTTTGAGTGTGTTTATTTAAAGATGGGAAGCCAGGACAGATTAGGGATTTTGTTGATGTACCGCCCCCCTCACTGCTTCAACAGTCTTCCTTCCTGAGCTAGCCGGAGTGCCTTGAGAGTGGTGTTGGAAGTCTTCTTGGCTTACATTGCTGGAGACTTTAACATCCATGCAGAGGCTACCCTGCTGGGAGTGACTGAGGACATCATGTCCACCATGATAAACATGGGTCTGTCTCAACTGGTATTTGGCCCTAATATTCTGAGGGGCACACTCTCTAGACCAGGGGTAGGCAACCTTTCCCCTTTAAGGGCCGAGGGACTTCAGCTCCCAGAAGCCTCAGCCATGTTGGCCAATAGCTCCTGGGATTCTGGGAGCTGAAGTCCCTCTGCCCTTAAAGGGGAAAGGTTGCCTACCCCTGCTCTAGACCAATGATTCCCAAATTTTGGTCCTCCAGGTGTTTTGGACTTCAACTCCCAGATGCCCCAGCCAGCTTGGCCAACTGTCAAAAACTCTGGGAGTTGATGCCCAAAACATCTGGAGGCCCAAAGTGTGGAAATCACTGCCCTTGTTTTCTGTACAGGAGGAAATGGTAATGATCTGGCAATGAAGGAACTTTCAACTTTCCATTGTGGGAAACAACTTGAAGGCACACAAGACAGCCTCACAGTCCTAGGCTCAAACTACTACACCATGCTGGCTCTTTAACCATCATGTTCTGAATAGGAATAAGCCTACCGTCAGTGACCTTAAGGCAGGGGTAGGCAATCTTTCCCCTTTAAGGGCCGAGGGACTTCAGCTCCCAGAAGCCTCAGCCATATTGGCCAATAGTCCCATGTTGGCCAATAGCTCCTGGGATTCTGGGAGCTGAAGTCCCTCGGCCCTTAAAGGGGAAAGATTGCCTACCCCTGCCTTAAGGCGACTTGCGTCCAAAAGACACTGCAGAAATAATCCAGTTTGAGACCACTTTAACTGCTCTGGGTCAATGCTAGGGAATCCTGGGAAGTGTAGTTTATTGTGGCACCAGAGCCCTCTGACAGAGGATAAAAGTCTCACGAGACTACACTTCCCAGAATTCCATAGCATTGAGCCAAGGCAGTTAAAGCGGTTTCAAACTGGATTATTTCTTCAGTGTGTTTTGGACCTAAGGCTCCAACCACCCTTCCCATCCAAGGAAGACCCCCCTCAGTAACCCAGCAAGGCCTATACCTTGAGCGGGAGGAGCCTGGTGGCGGCAACAGCCTCCTCCCCGGATCTGCCCTGATGGAGAGCCATCCGCTGGACCACTCCATGCAGCCGCTGGGCCGCGCTGATGCCGGACTCGGGCGGCAGGGATCCCGCGGCGGAAACACAGGCGGCGGGAGAATGAGAGAGGAGGCCGCGGTCGTCCTGGGCTGAGGACGAAGCCTCCTCGTTCGCTCCAAATGATGCGGCAGCCTCGACGACGGCTCTGGGCCCGGCGGACATCTCCTCGGCCGCCTTCCCTGCCTCCTTTCCAGGAGCCGAGGGAGGCACCAGGCCCAACAGCTCCCTCGGGCCTTCTCCAGCTGCCTCCAACGGTCGCTCGGACACTCCGCGGCCGAACCCGGTCCCAGAGCGAGCCGCTTCTTCCTGCTCGAACACGGAACCTTCCTCAACGGCGCCGTTAATCTCAGGAGCCGCCATCTTAGTTGTCGTTTGAGGGAAGCCGTCGGGAAACCTCGCCTCCTCCCCCAGCTCTCGCGAGAACTGTTCGAGGATGGAGCAATAGCGAAGCTTCGTTCGCCCTCACCCACCCGTTTTCTGACATCACGAGGGGAAAGTGGAGAAACCCAGCTACGGAAGCCGTCGGGAGACATAATTAGATGATTGTATTGTTGTTGTTTTAAATGGGGGAAGAACCATAGTGTTGTGTCCTTGCAAATACAGTAGATTCCATGCCTCAAGAAAAGCAAAGGCAGATTATAAGGAGAAGCTGCAAGGTTGCTATTCACTTGGAAATGCTGAATTGGGGCAACTGGTTCTTACCACGTTTAAATGCACTCGTTAGTTGGCTGACCTTTGCCAGGATGGATGGTTTTGTTACCATGAGTGCTGTTTGTGTGTGTTCATGAATACACTCCCAGAGAGCCAGAGTGGTATAATGGTTTGAGCATTGGACTACAACTCTGAAGATCAGCCATGGAAACCCACTGGGTGACCTTGGGCAAGTCACACTCTCTCAGCCTCAGGGGAAGGCATTGGCAAAAACCACTCTGAACAAACCTTGCCAAAAAAAACCCCTTGATAGGGTCACCATAAATCGGAAACTTCTTGAAGACACACAACAAGAAGAAATTATTATTATTATTATCATCATCATCGTCATCATTAATTATGCTTATTGCATTTATAACCCACTCTTCAGAAATGCTCTCAGAGAGGCTTACAAAATGTTAATATAATTCTTAATACAATATAATTATAATTTATATATGATGTAATTATAATATAATTAAACACCCTTCCAA